TATCGAGTGATTGAGCCAAATGAAATATTATCGAAACAAGTTTGTATCACAATTATTTTTCCTCTTGTCTTTTCTTCAAACCGATATCAGAATGTAGGAAGATGCTAGAAGAAATTGTAATCCTATGAACTGATTTTACTTAACCAATATTTATTTTGAGAAATTTTAATATTAAAACAATGGCGTATGTTGTTTGCCTGAAGGAGAATTTGGAAAGAGTTATTTTCATATTCTTTCATTTAATATTGCGTGAGACTTAGATTACCCTTCTTGCAACATGCGAAAGATACAGTCAATGTTTCTAATAAGAATATCTCACTAACTTTTCGGCGTGATAAAAAAACTAATCGGATTATATATAATTAGAAGTTGGCGTAATAGATATAAGTTTTGAAAATATTGAATTTAAAACTGCCACAAAAGTCATTATTGACTTTAAACAAACGCCAGAAATTATTGTTCAAGCTTTCGGTAACTAACACTTATCGTTATCAGGAATCGAGAAAAAAGAGGAAAAAAATTATATAATACTTTTATTTTGTCTTATTCCTTTGCTTCTTCTAATTAGTATTATATAATTTTTTTTCCCTTTTTCTGTATTCCTAATGTTGATAAGTGTTACTTATCGAAAGCTTGAATAATAAAACTTATGGTGTTTGTTCAAAATCTATAATGATCTTTGTGGTAGTTTTATACTCAATTTTTTCAAAACTAATTGGATTCTAGACTAAAGTAGCAATATTCAAATCATTATGGTTTCCATAATGAATTCTATCCACTTTCTGCTCCTAACTACAACGCAAGTTCATATTAATAGGAAAAAAACGTACTTAGATGCTATTAGGAGAGGACAAAATCTATCTGCGATGTTCCTATTAGGATCAATAAATAGTCCAGACTCATTACTATCGTCGAAAATGACAAAATGGGAGCAAACAAGACTGTAATACTTTGGAGTAGCGAGTATAGTACAAGCAGAGTACGAAAGAAGTATGAGCCAGAGTACGCATCCCAAGAGTCTTTCTGTTTCCTCCTTGAAAATGACTTACTGTTGTTATTACAGCAAAAAATTAGCTAGCTGTTGTTATTAGGGTCGACTATTTTTTAAACACGGTTAGACGTCTTACCTTGAGATTCTATGTTTCATTAAAGAAATTTTGTTTCTCATGAATCTTTAGATTTAGACACAGTTCGACATGCTCTACTACATTCTCAACAAAACCTTTGCTGGTTTTCTTAAAAAAGATACTTTTTTCTTAAAAACTCTGATTTTGCTTGAATTTTACTGGAGTGTTGTCATTAGGCACAAAATTTAGCTGACTGTTTTAATTAAGAAAAGTGTGCCTAGTACTCCAGGCAAGCAAAAATTAAGGGAAGACGCCCAACATGACTAGTCTCAAATGTCCGCACTACCGTCTGGCCTAGTCTGAAACGACTTGCAGCCCGTCAAGACTAGTTGTCTTGACTCACAAAGTCTTGCAACTTAATATAGACTAGTCCGAAACGTGCTCTCACTCAGTGATGACTAGTCCATTTTGTACAATCATACTGTCCAGGCGCGTCAGCATAACTACAAAAGTCAAAAGTAAAGGAGACGATAGATGGATTTGAACATTCGATCCGACAATATTGGATACCTGACTAGTCTAGATTATTTTCAATAGCAATCTAGACTAATATGAAGAGTCATTTGTACTAGTCATGACTAGTTGTTTCGAAGGAACTAGTAGCACTTTTTATTTAGAGTAGTCTAAACTTCTTAGAAAGTCTCTTTTAGTTGCACTTAATTATCCAAGCAACTCATTTAGACTTGATCATATGAAGACTAGAGTGATGTATCCAACGAGAGTTACCTATTTAGGGTGTGGGTGTAGGTATCATTATCTTTCTCTCGCCCACCCACACTCACACCCACACCCACACCCACACCCCACACCCACACCCACACCCACACCCCACATCCACACCCTAGTTCTAAGAGTTTCAAGGGTTGTAAGAGTTCTAAGAATTCTAAGAGTTCCAAGAGTTCTAAGAGTTCTTAGAGTTCCAAGAGTGTCAAGGATTCTAAGAGTTCCTACGGCTGAAGATTTGTATTCTCTCCTTGGTTGAACAGTTCAGAGTTCCTGAAGAGTTCTGAACTCTTGGAATCTGGCCACATTTCCCCTAGTTACAACAAATCCAGGTCACAATCGTAGATTGATGATTTCTCCTCCATTTATATTTCAGAGAACGGTCATGAATATATAGCTTGGAAGAGAAGACTTTCAGGATTATGCAAATAAAAATGTTTTCACTCGAGTTTAAAATAGCCAAAAATCCAGTCGAATAAGAAAAAAGTTTTGTTTTACTGTTCTTATTAGAAACATTGACTGTAGGCATACAATAGCACTTCATGAAATCTGTTGGCTTCATTCAAAACCAAAAGACGAATGATTCATGTTACAATGATTTTCTAGGATCAGGACAGCATTCAAGCATTATATGGGACATTGAAAAATTCCTTGAAAACTACGCGACCAAGTAGGCGTGGTAGATCAATAGAGAGTGACGAAAACGAAACAACGACAAAACCAACAAGAAAGACAAAGAAAGAATCCACAAAGAAAAAAGCGAAAAAAACAAGAAGGAGAAAGACAAAGCCAACAACCACAACCAAGATAGGTAAGACGCTAGCGGCTATGAAAAGAAAAAAACCTTAATCAATGCATGTTATCTATTCTCTATTTGGAATATTATAGTCTATGTCCGAATAGTTCACGGATTCAACCGACTAATGTATTGTACTTTAAACTCGAGGAAAGAAAAGAGATTTGTAGGTATCAAACTACATAATGTTTGTTTAGTTCAAAATAGAAGTGAATAATCAACAAGTGTTACAGTTATGAGATAGCAAGACAACATTCTTTATTTGAAGTTGTCAGGCTTTTGACGATCATCATAAAAGTATCATTAATGCTTATGAGTTATACGATTCGGTTTTTGGTAATCATTAAACATTTCAAAGATCAGAGAAAGGAAAAAGAAAAAAGGAAAAAACAAAACACATCAGTTATTCGTTTCATTTAATTCTAAGTTGAGTGTTCATTGAAAAGACCTGCTACCGCATGGGTTATCATTTTTGATTATGTTTGTCTAAGCAACATTCATTAGATCAATTGACGTTAATCAAAATGTTTTAGGTGATGAATATAGGATAGTGATGTCGCACAGAGAAAAAGAATGAGAAATGAAATAGAAAAAAGAACAAAGATAATCAGTCTCGAAACTACCAGCGAAGAAGAGATAATCTCTAAGAAGAAAATTATTGAGTCTAATTCCAATACCCATCTTCTTTGCTGAAATAATATATTCACCTATCTCTCAATATCTTTAGGAAAATAGATATAATTGAATATTATATCTTCTCTTTTTTCTTAAAAGCTCATTTCGATATCAAAAAAGTTGCTTAAATTTCCTTTTCTTACATGACGCGATATCTATGTGCACGACATATCCTGGTCAAGGGTGTGTAGGTGTGGGTATACGTGTGCCAGAAATCAGTACCATATCAACACACGCCCACACCGAATCGAAGAAATGTATTTCGAAATGCGTGAGGTGTTAAAAATAATGGAAAAAGCCAATTTTATAGATAAATCTCGTACTTTTCTTTTTTATTCCATATGGAAAATATGAGTTTTTTAACATGTTTTAAAGATTTTTCAAGCAGTTTTTTGAATTTTTTATCTTAAAAGAACGGTATAAAAAGCTTCAATACGTACAGTTTTGCAGAGCTTGTCGAGCTCTATCAAATCATGTAAAAATATTCAAGAAAAAAGTTTTACTTCATTTTATAATTACTAATATCTTACTTTTCTATGCTAAAAATGAACGAACTTTTCCAAAAATGTGTTAAGTTCGATATTGCAAAGTTCACAAAATTCTGACTATTTAGTACCAACAAATCCCATTTTTGACGAGCTTCCATTTGGTATGAATGCATTATATACTCTTCCCTGAGATGATAATATTGTTTCCTATTCTCTATCTTCTAATATCAAGGAACTTGAGCACGCCCATATGTATTTGTTATTTCCAAACAGATATCACAAAGACCATGGAACCACAAGTGGTAAAGTTTGAAGCAAGTGACATCAATGCAATAGCAAACAAATTAAAAGGCCTACAACCTGATAGTAGCTTAGCAGCATTCAGTAAAATGTCAGACATGATCCAAAAAGCTACCGGTATGCTTCCAGAAAAAATAATTCCTTCCTTACAGCAATTGGCTCAATCTTATTCAAAAACAACGATGCAGATTAAAGTTAGTTTTGCTGATACAACTGCTTTATTATCAAAATTTGTAGTAAAAGGTTACCGTGTTATGAAACGTGGTATGAATAATGAAGATACGCAAGTTTTAAAGGCTTTCAGTGATCAATTAAGCATGAGCATGATCAACCAATTAAATGAATTCGTTGAAATATCACGCACTGAATTGGTTGCAATTCATACACAGTTATTAAATTACTCACTTGGTGATAGAGCTGTAAATTTGATAAAAGAAAAGGAAAATATAGAAGTTAAGTTATTAGAACAATCAAAAGAATTAGTAAAGATATCTTCTGAACGTGGTGCAAATCAAGGCATGATCGAAGCACTTGAATATCAAAAGAAACTGTTTGAGAAAGCCATTGAAGATTCTGAGGCAGCAAAAGAAGAAGCAAAGAAAGAAGTAAAAGCTTTAAAAGGTCAAATACGTGAATATGAAAACGAGGTACAAGAACGTCGTAATACTGTTGAGGAAGAAAGAGGATCTTTTTGGATATTTTCATGGAAAATACGTGATATTCATCACAACAATGGTGAACAAATTGCTAGGGAAAATCTGGAAAGATTATTAAAACGAATTCGCGATTTGGATGCATTAATAGCAAATTGGCCGAATATGGATGCAGTTAAACGTATGACAGACACAGTAAAAGAATTGGGAACTTATACAGGAAAGAAACATCCATTAGACCTTAAGTATAAAGGAAGTGAACAATCTTATAATGAAACTACAGAAGAATTTGATCGTGTCATTAAAGAAATTGAGAAAATCTATCAATTAGTTGGCACTGCCCAAATTAAAAGTTTAACATTAATTGATGAATTATCTCGTGCTGTTCTAAGTGGGCATGATTCTATTGTATCGACTTATGCAAAAATACGTACTAATTTAAAAGCACTTGATGCTGATGGAGATCTTTTGGTTAGTTCTATAGTAGATGCTTTACAATTCATGAACATGATGGATACATATATGGGTACTACAAAAATTAACGATATGAAACAAATGTTAGCAACAAAATAATATTGTTAGAGTTGAAATACACAGCCAAGATTTTGTAAAGCGGGAAAATAGATATCTCAGGCTTAGTGATTTAAAATGAATTTACATGATTTTGTAATTTAAATTGAACTTTTAAGATTATTCTTATCTAAAATGATTTTCAAAAGTTATAATATATTTGAGTGATTTAAAGTGTTGTAGTTGATTTTTTCATTAATAAATTTCTATGAAATTATTAACATATTATTATCGAATATATAATGAATGCTTGAAATTTATAATAATTCCGTTCAATTTTATTTTGATACTTGATAAAATCAATATACTACAATATTGAATTAAAACATGAAAAAAAAAACTTAATTTCACTTCTAGCAACGCCACATTTTGATGATATTATGTGTGATGAAAAGTTATCTCTCTCAATATATCTCATATAAACTTCTTCTTTCTAAAAAGAAAATCGTCGAACTAGATGCATTCAGTATCATCCATTAGATAAACTATATTTTGATTAGTTTACTAAAACACAAAAACAGAATGATACTTGGTCAAAACTGAAGAGAAAATTTGACTAAAATTTATTAGCCATTTGTTTCAGTTTGTTGGTGTTAGAGAATCTAAAAGTCGTTCAAGCAACTATTTCATATGTGAGCCGAAAAGACTCAATTAAAGTATCCTTTGATGTAGGGCAAAGAAAGAACAAATAAATTTTTGTAACGATTTCTAGTGATTTCTTTTAAAAGCAATCAATTCTTACATACTTATTATAAATCAAAAGAAATCATTGAAAATACTAGAATTGAAGAAAAATTACCAGAAATCGTTTAATAATGAAAAGAAACCGGTAGGAATGTTGAACGATCATCAGAAATCAATTACATTGCCATAATAGAAGAATAAAAACTATAATGGGATTCTCAGTCATGAGATAGCATCATCGCCAGTAACTTGCGAGAGGATACAGAAAGACATTTTGTTCTTCAAAGCCGCAAACAAAACTAGAATTTTTGAAACTTTCTGAAAAGTCATTCGAAGCTCCACTCAAAAATATGCTAATTACCAGTCCCTTGTATCTTCATGTCCCTTCTTGTAATTGGCAAGACTATGAATCGTTGTATCCTTCCCTTTGAGACTTATTTTAATTATTACAACTTTTCATCGTGTTTGTTGCTAATATTAGCCATCATTAGTACATATGCATAAAGCTAAATTACACTTAGATATGATTTCTCAATAATTTCAGCATATCTTAAATTTAATTTGTGTTTATCCCTAAAACGAAAAAGTGATATCGTAGTCACCATAGAGGATCAACAAATGATCGTTAAAAATTTCCATCTAATGACTATTATCCGTTTCAAAATATAAGAGTCATTGATCAATTTTTCAATAACTTTTGATAGGAACAAGATAGAGGGTGTGGGTGTGGGGTGTGGGTGTGGGTGTGGGGTGTGGGTGGGTGTGGGTGTGGGGGGGGGGGGGGGGGGGGGGGGGGGGGGGGGGGGGGTGAGGATGCGGGGTGTGGGTTTCAATAGAGTGGACCCACACCCACCCCCACACACCCACCCACACCCACACCCACCCACCGACACCCACACCCACACCAACACACCCACTCACACCCACACCTACCCCCACACATCGACACCACCCACACCCACCCCCACCCCCACACACCCACACTCACCCACACCCCACACCCACATCCACACCCACCCACACCGACACCCCACACCCACACCCTCATTGAGAACAAATAAAAACTAATTACCAATAATACAAATATCATAAATTCTTTATGGGAACACTAACATTAAGCTTTCCAATTTTGCTAATCCAAGCATCTGACTCATTTATTTGAGATTACAAGTTCGTATGCTTTTTAAATAATTTATTATTTTATTTTAGTTAGTTGAACAATTTTGGATAATTCTAAATAATTGTCCTCCATTAACGCAAAGTGAAAAAGAAATATATATGATTTTGATATATTTTCAAATTGAAAATATTTTTAGTGAAAATAAGCAATTATTATGATTATTTTATATATCATTATTATCATTATTACAATGAACACACATATTTGGAAACGCTTTATTATACACAAGACGATTTATACTCATCAATACAAACAACTCATTATCAATTATTTTTTTTAATTTGAACAAGTTGATATAGATTCATACATTTTCGATTTATTGCATCACAATTATACTATTTCAGTTCATCTATTAAACCGAAATTAATTTTTGGTATCATTAAGAATTCTTTAGACAGAAAAAGAATAACATTGAAATAAAACTAGTCTTTTATTAATCGAACAATTGTTTATATAGTCATATAGATCTATTATCTTTAGCCGAATAAATTGTTTTTCATCCTATTGAAACGATGTCAACACTGGATGAATAGATATTCAATAAACAATTCTTACCCACAAAGATTTATCATTCATTTACGAAGTATTAAAATAAAAAACAGAAATCAATAACAATAGTAGCTCAAATGAATATATTGGTGCACCTTATATCATATGCAATTAATCCAATAAATTAAACAACAACAATATTAGTCGATATAATTACACAAGATTTTCATAATCTTAGTTTTGATTTTACGTTGAAAAAAAATCAATTCTGATGCTACTGACATGTTTATTGAAATTTAATTTATTAACTTAAATATATAGATAAATAATGAAAATCGTTATCTAGTTTCAAGAAAATATCTTTCTTTTACTTCGAGGGTGTGGGCGTGTGGGCGTGGGGTGGGTGTGGGTGTCCGCTTCAACCACACCTACACCCACACCTACCCCACACTCACACCCAACTTGTTTTTCTTATTTTAAATTCTTTAGAAATAAATTTGTCTTTTTAAAGTAACAAACTTATCGTGTAATTTATCAATTTATTCATTAACAAGAGTAACTGTATATGCTAAAATGCATGTCACTTTCAACATAATAATTCATTGTAACAAAATGTAGATGACAAAATATTAGTTATGAATAATTGCATATTAATTTGAAATCACGAGTTAGATACGTTATCAGAAAAACTCTTTTTCTTGTAATTCATTTGATATGAATAATCCATTACATTTGTTTTATAAAAAAAAAAGTATCTTTGAAAGTAGACTTTTGTTGGAATGTAGTACTGCTGATCAGTTATGGTTTCGATTATGCTTTTGAACAGCTGTTTTTCTTGGATTTTGTAGAGAATCGTACAGGTTATCTTTTCGAAAAAATTCAAATCAATGCATCAAAAACTGGTAAAACTATTCACGAAATACTCAGTGGATAATTCTTTGCAGAAAAAAAGTAAAAAATAATTTTGATAAAATTTTTTCTGCATATTTTTATCATTATGGCACTTTCCTACAGTTGATGCGAATTGAATTTAACTGCAGAAGAGCGGCACCTCCTACACCAAAGTGTGTAATTAACAGGGGCACATCAAAGACTGTGGATACCGCAGTGTCGTTATTCTGCAGTTGTACTCGCTTTCATCTCTGAAAAAAATTTCATCTAAACCATACTGTAGAGGTCGCTAGTTTCATGTACAAGCACCAATCTAGTTCTTGATTGGTAGATTTCAATCAAATAATATCTGCTTCTCCTCATGATAAAAAAATCTCTGTAAAAAAACAAACTTGTGTTTCATATTGAAAAAAAATCGAACAAATGACTGCACCAGTTACAACAGTAACAACCATTGCAACATCAGTAACAGCACCTTTTACAGCTGTAGAACATTTCCTTTCAATAACTCATCAATTGTTTGATGAACATCGCACAGCTATTTTCATACTCACTGGAACATGTGTATTATGTTTTTCTCTTTATGATATTCTTTACTAACGGAGGTATTATTTTTCAGTAGTAACAGGATGGTTATACAATAAATTATGGGTGAATCGAAAATTTTATCCAAGTATGCAATTAATGCAAGGTAAAACTGTTCTTATTACGGGTGGTAATGCTGGTCTTGGCTATGAAACAGCTAAAGATCTTCTTCGACGAGGTTTGTAATCGGAATGATGTTTTTTTTTGTTTTTGTGTTAAATATTCTATTATTATTTTTGAATTATCTATAGGTGCTCGAGTTATTATTGCTTGTCGTGATATGGATAAAGGTCGTCAAGCTATGCGAAAATTATATTCTGAAACAGAATGTGAAGAAAAAAATCTTCGATTAATGGAATGTGATTTATGTTCATTTGAATCTGTTCGTAATTTTGCTAATTTATATAATAATGAAGAAGAAAGACTTGATGTATTAATATGTAATGCTGGTCTTGTTTGGCCAAAATATGTAGTTACAAAAGATGGATTTAATTCTATTATTCAAGCTAATTATCTTGGTCATTTTTTATTAACAAATCTTCTATTAGATAAATTAAAAAAATGTCGTCCAAGTCGAATTATTAATGTTTCATCGGATGCACATCAAAGTTTGTATTAAAATAATTTAAATCTATTTTATATCATTTTTTTTTGTATTTAATATAGGACTTCAATCAATTGATTGGTTTGATGTATTTACACAATTTAAAGATTCTCGTCTATTAGGTGTATATGGATCATCAAAAGCATTTCAAATATTATCAACTTATAAATTAAAACAAGTTTTACTTGGTAATCAACTTGAATATATATTTTTTTTTCATTTTTTTCTCTTATTTTAATCATTTTTACATTTAGCTGAAGGTGTTAATGCATTTGCATTACATCCTGGTATGGTTGCAACATCTATTGGAGTACCAATACGAGAAGTTTTTGGAATTTATCGATTTCTTATTTTGTATCCAATATTACGTTTGCTTATATTTCCCTTTATTAAAACACCAAAGACTGGTGCACGAACAACTATTTATTGTACAGTTGAACCTTCACTTGAACATTCAACAGATCTCTATTTTGAGTATGTATCTTTCATTTAAAGAATAAGGTGCGGACAAATCGAAATGATCTCTACTCTATAAAATAACGCAAGCATGGAAAGTTTTAGTGAAACTACTAAAAGATGGTTGAGTTGTGACGTAGGATTATTTCGCACTGAAAAGACGAAAATCGGAAAAATAACTATTTTTCTCGCGATAGACTTCATAAAAGCCTTTACTGTATATCAAAACAAGATTCATTTATAGTTCAATATTCAAAAGTCTCATCTAATGACTCTTAGAATATTCTGACAATGTCAGTCGCAAAGGAAGTTCCTTCATTGAAATATTGAATTCGATCTTTGTGACATATTTATAGCGAAAGTTTATTTTTGCAAATTCTGTATTTTCAAGAAGGAACATTCTTTTCGGCTAAAACTATCAAAATGTTCTAAGAGTCATTAGATCTATCTATAGGTAAAAGTTTGAGATCGAAGTTTCGTGATTTGATTTTGTTTTTCGAAGACTACCTAGGAAATCCAGTAAATTTTTCATTACTCGTCTTCAAAGACACATGGGAACGAATTCTTATAGACTTCTTCTAGTCTCGTCGAATCCTCCTTCTAGTCCTACGGTGCGTCTCAATTTGGGTAATACATTACTTCCCATTCTTTCCCAATGCGGTTAAATACATGAAAAAATAAAAATAAAAAAGATTTTGTCTCAAAACTTTAAGCTCATCCTGTGTTAAGTACACAGATCAATGCTGATTTTTGCATATAAGATTTATATAAAGTTCTGATGGTTAAAATCTTCGAATACAAAACTTGTTTTCAAAACGTATACATAAGTTTTTTCTTACCTATATGATTCGAATAAATAAGTTTCACTTGAAAAAAAATCATCTGAATATATCAAAAATAATATTTTAATACGTAACTCGACGAATTCTATCCAATCATGACAAAAAAATTTGAATTGTCGATATCTTACATAAAACAAAAAAAGATTCTATTTCTATGTTATAGAAATTGTGCTGTTGCTCGACCGACTTCACTGTGTAAAGATAATGAAACAGCTGATCATTTATGGAACTTAAGTGCCCAAGCAGTTGGATTGAAATAATAACTATATATTCTATTTTAATATTATTTTTTTTTGTTTTTTTAATAAAATAAATATTGAAGATAGAAAAAAAAAGCTTGTTAGCGCAGCTCCTGTGGAGCTGAAATGTGGAACTCACGTATACCTTTAGCTTTGTTACCTGACGCATCATCTGTATACTGAAAGACTTCTCATCAATTATAGTTGTTTTCGTTGAGAATCGATGAAAAGAGCAGGAATTTATTATTTATTTGTATATTAAAAAAATATATTAAAAAAGAAAATTTTTTTTTTCATTTAAGCGCGCTCGATTTCATTTATAATTATTGCTATATACTCGATAGTAATCTTTTTTTTTTGTTTTCTAATTTGAAGTTATTTTTCTCTACCATCGATTATTTGGTGAATACGGTTGTCGCAGTCTGTAATGCGGCGGGGGGGGGGGGGGGGGGGGGGGG